AAACAAGCAGCTAAAACTGATGCAGCCCAGTAGAACAGCGGTAATGAAGTTTTGTTGCTGCTGACATGTGTTGTTAGAACTCTGTCAGACTGGTGACCTGGACCCCACCTTTCGCCCTGTGACAGCTGGGATAGATGTATGGATGATTCAAGTTTACGCACTACAGGCTACAAAATGACCATAAAGTCGCTGAACAGTTGTCCCTAAATGAATGAGAGTGCTATCACTCAGGTTTGCCCAATAACAGGCTAATAATCAAGTAACAGAGTTAGACAGAAATAGCCTTTGTTCTTAATACTCCACTCATGAAAGCTGAAATAACCTTGGCAGTACGTAAATACTTTAGTTGGTTCAAAGGTCATTCCTTCTTAATTAATCAAAAAATGTTTTTAAAAACTGCCGAAAACCCCCCAACTAACTTTAAGTTTACTACTTAAGATAAAATATGTAAAACTCCAGGACCTCACTGTTTCCTCACAAAAAAATAGAAAGTGACGGGATCTGAGTTTTTCTGGCACTTACTTTTGAGGAGCTGTTTTAAAATTCCATTATCTAGAAAACTACTAGTGTCACACCCTTTCACGCTCACGTGGTATGACCCAAACACATATGAAGAATCAATTGTACCAAGACTCTGAAATATTACGAAACACAACTGCATAACTTTTATACATTAGGCTATAAACGTTCTAATATGTTTTAATTTGATGCATAAGTAGCGAGATAATGGATATTTGCAGTTCTGATTACATCACTTTCTGTTTTGCACACTTGAACTAACAGGTAGCTTAAACAGTGACATCATGAACAATAATTTGTTTTCAGATTATTGTTGTGTTTTTCATGTTGTCATGTTATGTGCTCCTTACAGGAATACAGGACACAATTATTACAGACTGCAGAAACTCTGAAGTATGGAAGGTAAGAAACCCACCATGTGCTCAGTACAGAGTCCCAGGATTGTACTTGGATAAATGGACAAGCTCCGAGTTACAGATTCAGCTTTGATGTGATTGATTCTCACTCATTCGCTTTGTCTCGATATAGAGAAATTTTTGCAGCATAGCATGGGAGTATATTACTGTTTAATGCATAATTAAAGGAGCATTTTCACGTTGTCTTCTTCACAGATATTGATTCTGGATCCCTTCACCACCAAGCTCCTCTCGTCATGCTGCAAAATGTCCGATCTGATGTCAGAGAAGATAACAAGTCGGTGGAATGATGTCCTTATATTTATTTTTACATCATGAAGCTATTTGATCAAAGATAATTTGTGCGTGTATGTCTTTAGCTACTATTGACTACTAGTATTCTGTTTCTAGTTGTGGAGGACCTGTTCAAAAGCAGAGAGCCTGTTCTCGAAATGAAGGCCATTTACTTTATGACACCTACTGCTAAGGTTTGCTGTTAAAACTTTTTCATTTTCATTTTTTTTTAACATATCACTGCCAATCTCTGTTGTGAGTTCTTAAATCTAATTTATTTTCATAGTGTGTGGATGCCTTTATAAAGGATTTCAAGCCCAAACCCAAATACAAAGCTGCGTACGTCTATTTCACTGACTGTAGGTAACTCCTGTGTTGGCGCTTAAATCTGCTTCATCAGCCAAATAGCAGATATACCTTTAACGATCAAAGTGGGCACTAAAAGCTTTTTTGATCCGCAGACTGCCCTGATGAACTGTTCAACAAAATGAGGCAAGCCTGTGGAAAACACATAAGGGTCTGCAAGGAAATAAACATCTCTTTCATGCCTCAGGAAGCACAAGTAAGTGTTTAAAATTTAGCCAAGTGTTCTTTTTTTAGTTTATTTTGTAATAGTCCATTTCCTCTTTTTGTCAAAATTTCCCTCAGTTGACAGGCACGCACGCAGGCTGTGCACTTGCCTGTTATTGAAGGAAGGGAATTTGCCTCGTGTAGGGTGTTTCTTAAAGTCCTAAAGAGAGTAAATCCTGTAGCTTCACATTTTTCCTTGCTATAGCATTTCAGCGGCTTTGTTGTCAACTTTTCCCGTTTATAATTCACCGTGTGTTCTCAATGGGTTTTGACTGCAGGTGGGATAGTTGCAGAAACAGAAAACTACTGTTGTATACACGTTACTGGCATTGTCTTGCTGCAGTGAGCGAAACTGGTGAATTCAGCTTTTGCAGATATGAGTTGTAGAGCAGGGCGATATGACCAAAAATATTTATCACGATATACATTTGAAAATTTGTGATAACGATATAACTGACGATATAATTGACACTAGACAAAATACTTTACAGCTCCACAACTTTAGTGCAAAAAACCCCATCAATGCATTTTCACTTAAACAAGCATCTGTTTTTTTATGTGCATTAAAGTTATATAAAAAATGTAACAGTGCAAATTCCTTGCTGACAGTTTAACCAAAAGGCATTTCCAGTGGAAACTGGTCGACATATCCTCAGCATAACCATGTAAAATATCCACGAAACTTAAAAAGAGGTTATACACACACAATACGGTAATATTATGTTGAAGCACAGTACGTATCACTCCGTGAGGTGATACATACTGTCGGAGCCGTAATGGTCCGACAATCCATCAAGCGGTGCAGCTTCGTAGCTTAGCAAAGTCGTACTGAAACATCTGACAGATTTTCGAGCGCCGTGTACATAAAAACGTTTCGAGGTCAGTAAACAACCAGAATTCATACATAAGGCACACGGGATTATAAGGGGCACTGATTTTCAGAAAAATCAAAGGATTGATTTTAAGTGTGCCGTATTTTCCAAACAACACGGTAATAACGACGGCCCGCTAGCATGCTCTACCAAAAATAGTGCTTTGTTGTGTATCTGACAGACGAAAGGTAAACCAGTTCCACACCACTGAAGTTGCAGCATTTTAACAAACCACTTCTGGTTCATCCGTTTCACTCAACGATCCACTTTCGCTCTTCTCATTCTGCGTCGCTGCCATGTGCGTATGTAAACATAGGCAGTGCGCATGCGCGTTTTACCCATATTCTATCGCGATATTTCATTTTCCTATCGTTGCCCAAAATTACACCGGTATTACCGTGAACGGTATGATATAGCCCAGCCCTAATGAGTTGTTACTTTCACCAGGTGTTGTAGGTTCACAAAGGCTTAAAACGGGGTTTGTTTGTTTATTAGCCCCTTGCTTCGTGTTTGGCAGGCAACATGCTGCCATCGTATCATGTGTAATTCATCATATGTTGATGTGAATTAGATGTTGTCATTGAAGTAAAAGGTGGTATATGTGCATATATTCTGAAAATGGCTCACTTTAGCCTGTTACTAGGCGGATGTTAGGAAACACAATGATGTCATAATTTCTGATATAGATGAGAACCTTTAAGATATACCTGTGTACCAGGTTTGATTGCTCATCTGCTGATTTTCTAGGAGATGTGATAGAAACACACAAGCAGGTGCTTAATGTATTATAGCCTCGAGTTCGGGAAACGATGAGAAATTAAAAATGATCCTTGTGCTCAATTTGTATCTTCTGGAACTTTAATGATGACAGCTGTGGTTTACACTGTGGTATTAAATACTTTGAAGGTTTTCACCTGCGATAATCCCGGGGCTTTCCGAAGCATCTACAGCCCCAAGAGTCAGGACAAAATGAAGACACTGGAGACACTGGCAGACCAGCTCGTTACGCTCTGTGCCACATTAGACGAGTACCCAGGGATCCGATACAAGAAGTAAGTCAGACAACATGTAGTGTCTTAGGTTACAACACACCCGAGCCCCCAAGCAGAGTGAAACTTTTTACGAGAAAAAGTCAGAATAGGTTCCGTATTAATGGCAGGAATAATGCTGGGCTTGAAAACAAAGCGTTGGTATCACTTGTTTCTTTGAACAGACTGGTTTTAGAATGTGTTTGTTCCGAGTGAATATAGTAGAGATGTATCTTATAACGGTCACTGTTCAAAGAAATAGCTTTGTGTAGAAAGAATCAGTTGGCAGCTGAGCAAGTGAGGTTACTCGCTCACAGCAGCGCTGATCCTATTCAGCCTGATGAAAGTAAGAGTGTAAAGATATGTAAAGAGCAGAGTGTAGCTGTTATTTACAGAAAATACAGTTTTGTGTTTTCTACACTGGATTAAACTTGACCTAAACGTTCACTTGACTCACGGAAACAACATTTATATCATAACTAGAGATGGCAACATGGAGAATGCCAAACTCCTTGCAGAGCTGGTGGACCGGAAGCTGGCCACACACTACCAGCTGGATGACAGTGGCAAGAAAAAGGTGAGAGGCCTGCCGAACAAAGGATGGTTTCAGGATAAACAAGGTCGTAGCCCTGGGAGTAAATGGGAATTTGAAAATACTGTATTGTTTATCACATGAAAGAATAAAATAATCCCTCCTTTGCCTCAAGCATATTAAACAGTTCCCTTTACTATAAATTTGAAAAGGCAAAAGTTTGGACAGCTTGCTCCGTGGCAGTGAATTATCCCAGTTTTTATATATAATTTAATAATTTAATAATATATAACTTTTTTGTTTCCCCCTACATCACCAGGAGAAGACCCAAGCCCAGTTGCTAATAGTCGACAGAGGCTTTGATCCTGTGACCCCCATCCTGCACGAGCTGACCTACCAGGCCATGGCCTACGATCTCATTGATATAGAAAACGATACCTATAAGTAATGCAGTCTACTTCCTGTATTTTATATAGAGAGATAGATATAGAGATATATGTGTACAATCTGCTTACTGCTTCATACTTTTGTGCTCATGAGAAACTAGATACTGATATTCTGGGTCATTTTGTGTCCAGGTACAAGGCTAGAGACGGCTTAGAGAAGCAGGCCCTGCTGAATGAGGATGACATGCTCTGGGTGAAGCTGAGGCACCAGCACATCGCAGAGGTTTCAGCGTAAGTGTGCGAAACCAGAAGTATGGCAATATCTTCTTCTTGTTGTCAGAACACTCATCTTAACGTTTTTGTTTTCCCTACAACAGGCAAATTCCCAAGATGGTGAAGGAGATATCTGCTAGCAAGAAACAGCCAGATGGGAAGGTACAGTGCAGTGGTTTCTGCTTGTGATCGTTTCGTTTTGAAAAGCATATCTTGAGCAACATTTAATGTGTTCATATATATAAATATATATGTATGTTTTTTGTTTCCCCAGATCACAATTAGCAATTTGGCTCAAATGATGAAGAAGATGCCTGCGTTCCGTAAACAGATGACAGAGGTATGCAGTAAAACTTATGTAGGGATAACTGAACTTACTTTGAAGTTATGTGCTCATCTGAAATGTGAGATTAAAGCAGAATTTTCTCCAGGATCTTATTGTAAGGGCTACGCAATCCTTATATTGTGGTCGGGTGTGGCGCCTCTGCAGCCTGTTATTACATTGGGTTGACCTGATGTTTTTAACAGTTTTTCTGTCTGGATTCTAGAAAACGATTCATCTGCAGCTGGCTGAGGACTGCATGAAACATTTCGCAAACAATGTGGAGAAACTCTGCAAAGCTGAACAGGTCTATTTATGCTCTGTTATCAAGATCTAGCAGTCACACTCTTCTTGACCTGCAGAGTACCGTTACTGTATGCGGCCAAGTGTGACCTTCTAAGCAAAGCTTTAGGGAAGTGTGTCATGTGTACTATGTGTAATATGCTGTATGTTTCTGTGCAGGACCTTGCAGTAGGCGCCGATGTGGATGGGTTAAAGGTGAAAGATCCCATGAGGACTCTGCTGCCTGTGCTGCTGAACCCATACAGTAAACATGACAAGATCAGAGCTGTGCTGCTCTACATCTTCAGCCTGAACGGTACATCAGCCTTCTCGTAAATAAAGTAGTGATGTCAGCATTAATCTCGTTAAAATGACGTTAACGCCATAACTGCATTAACACAACAAATCTCGGTTAGCGAGCTAACGCAGATCTCCCCACACAAGGCCTGCACAGCGGTAGCGCGGTTAGCTCGTTAACGCATTAGCACCGTGCAGCCCCTCACACGGGGCGATCCGCGTTAACTCGCTAACGGAGATTTGCAGCGTTAATGCGGTTATGGCGTTAACGTCATTTTAACGAGATTAACGCTGACAGCAATAGAATAAACTTTTTTTGACTAAAAGGTAGAGGTGCTAATTTGTCCATCTGTCTTTTTTTGCTTTTTGGTTGTTTGGTGTTTGTAAACAGGGACAACCGAGGAAAACTTAAACAAACTTATTGAGCATGTAAAGATCGAGGGAGAACCGGAGTATATCCTGAACTGGAAAGAGCTGGGTGTGCCCATCATCATAACGGTAGGTTGAGAAAAGGAAAACGTTTCAGTGTTTTGATTTATCCATTTTT